AACCTTATTTTCAATAAGCAATCCTGAAAAATATTTGGGGGTGCTTAACTTTTTCCCAGGTGTATATATAAAAGTATTATCATTACCCAGTCAAGCCATCTCAAAACTTTTACATCATATTTCTGTCACTAACTGATATACTTAGCTTTGTCAGTACTGGCCAAAATTGAGAGAGAAAATCATAAAATGTAATTGCCATTTCATAAAACAATATTAAAAACCAGAAGTTTCATTAAATATATTAAAATGATTTTAAGTTAGCTTATTTTTCAACTTAAACACCAACACCTTAGGCAAACAATGGACTAAATGGCTGACCAGAGATCCCTAATTTTGAACTGCAGACTAGATGAAATGCAACCAGGAGGAAACACTTGCCAACTGAAACAGTGAAATTCTTAACCAATTAGCAGGATTGACTGTCACCCACAACTGATCTCCCAAGTCCAACATGCTAACCACTAGGCCAAAATTTAGATCAAGCAGGAAGTTTTTATTTTATGGACCAAAAAATCAAATTTATGATACTTTTAAAGTAATATCGAACACTATTCACATTTCACCTAAAAACAAAAAAAAAAGTGCAATATATTCACATATAATGAAGTCTAAACAGGAAGGACTTACTTATATCACTTCAAAACACATTTATCTGCTACAATTTATTTGGTAAGTTGAAAAATTGTCATGGTTTTCTGATATTATACAGGATTAACTTACTAAGAGTAAAAAGATGTTATACGTATATATTATTGGAAATAGTTATTAAAAATGAACTCATGATGGAGAAAATGAAGTCTAATAACAAAGATGAAGAGAGTTGATAACACACAAAACATTTATTTCCAGAAGCTCTGAACATTCCAGGTTACGTTTATTACAACTTCAGTGAAATCTGGAAATAACATTAAAATCATATTTCTTGAGTAATACCATAGTAACCTCAATAACTAATGTACTTAAAATGTTCAGTAAAGGAGCAAATGGAAGGAAGTATAGATTATAGGATATGTTAGGGAGTAGCTCAAATTACAAGTTGCATGAGACACCAAGTAATAATCATAACTATTCTAACAAATGACTGAGTGTTAAATGAGGCTATTTATACAAGAGTCATGAATGTAAAAGTGTTAGTATTAGATCTTTTATACTGGAAGAAGTGCTTAATGCAGCAAAAACTGCATATAATGAAATGAATTTGAGGGTAAAAATGTTTTTACTAAGGAAGAGGATTGTTTTCTAATTTGTAATATTTGTGAGCCCATGAAAGGAAAACAAATTATGAGGGGAAAATTTGGGGATGGTGTACAAAATAGCAGCAAGTTTAGAAACTTGCGACTAATGTTTGTTAGACAGTCAGTGAATTAGCCATTGCTTAACTAGTGTTTGTGCAGAAGTACAATTTATCTGTCCAAAATAGAGTAGTTTGAGCTGATATTAAAAATTCTGTTTAACAGCGACATAACTAGGTTTGATTTCAAGAGGTTGGGGATAAGCTTGTTAAAATTTATAAAAATACTTTTATGTTCATGGCTCACATATAAGTATATGTGTAGTGACTGTAAAGTCATGCACATTGTCAAAACAATATGCCACTTAAAAACTAGAGTTTGGAAACATTTAAGAGTATTAAGCCGGTCTACATATTCAAGTCCACATAATCAGTAACCTCTTCAAAGAATATCAAAAGATTAGTAAAGAAAGATTTTCCCCTTATGAAACTATGCTGACTACCATC